CACAGTCAGAGAAACAGGACTACACTGGAAAACAGGCCGATGTGAACGAATACGGAAAACTTTTCCACATGAGGAGATTGACAGAAAAAAAAAGATTTTTATCATAACTGTAAAATATTAACACTTTTTGGTTTACTATCTTGGTATAATTCCTGCTCTAAGTAAGTCGCTCTTTCAGCTAAAGGCGTGTTTTACTTTCTCTATACTCCAGTTAATGAATCGATTACTATATTAGTCAAGGATTATTTCAATAATCGATTCATCTGATTAATTGTTTAAATGCAGCCGTCCTGAGAAGCTTCTCCGCTGCTCTTGGTTTTCCATATTTGTCTCTGTGCTTCACTGGACTCCCAAAGCTTTAGGAAAAACTTTAACTTTTTTAGAACAAAATTAGTTTTTCATCCATTCTCGATATTTATTAGTGGTTGGCGCAGGATGTGTGATCTTTTTAGATCTTTATGCCTATTTCATGTGGTCAGACCGGTTCTATTGATTTGATTGATCTTTTGCTCCATCTTTACAGTGTTGCTTCAGTCCATTGGGGTTCACTCACCTTCATTTCCTCACAGCTCGTTAAAATCCCAATTAATCCCAATTAAGGTCCAGGTTTGGACTGAAAAATAATTGTTTTATTTTGAAAATCGATTAATCTGCTGATGATTTTTGTCAATCAATCGATTAAAGGCAGCGCTATAGGGAACCGCCTCACGTTGGCCGCCATAAGAGTGCGCCAAAGGCAGCGTTCCGTGGCACGCATGACATCAGGAAATCGTTATGTTATTCTCTTTAAATTCAATTTCACTGTCACAGCCTCTGTATTTTTAAAATGTTTTTAAATATCTTTATTTTAATTTCTTCTGACACTTTTTTATGCTTTTGTACAGTGACCTTGAGTGTCCAGAAAGGCGCCTTTTTAAATAAAATGTATTATTATTATTATTATGAACAGTTTGTACTGAAACTGAATTATCGATGTAAATTGTAGTTGACAATAAAGAAATAGTTTGATTGATTAATTGAAAATAATTGGATCGACAAAGGTTCCTTAAAGAGGACTAAAGAGCTTTGGCTGCTCGGTGGAGCAGTGGGTAGCACTGCTGCCTTGCAGCAAAAAGGTTCTGGGTTCAATTCCCAGCCCGGGGTCTTTCTGCATGGAGTCTGCATGTTCTCCCTGAGCATGCGTGGGTTCTCTCCGGGTACTCCGGCTTCCTCCCACAGTCCAAAAACATGACTATTAGGTTAATTGGCTTCTCTAAATTCTCTTTAGGTGTGAGTGTGTGGATGGTTGTTTGACTTGTGTGTCTCTGTGTTGCCCTGGCAACCTGTCCAGCTGTTTGTGCCTCTCGCCTGTAGACATAAAG